GAAGAGCAGGTCCTGCTTGTGGCGCCGTATTGGCCCACTCGGACCTGGTTCCCCGAACTAATGCTCCTCGAGACAGCCCCTCCCTGGCAGATTTCTCTGAGGAAGGTTCTACTAACTCAGAGACGGGGCACCCTGTGGCACCCGCGTCCAGACCTCTGGAAACTTCATGTCTGGTCCCTGGACAGGACGCAGGACAGGTTATTGGTGACCTACCCCAAGAGGTAGTTGACACCTTCACTTCGGCGAGAGCACTGTCTACGAGACACGCTTACGCCTTGAAGTGGAACCTGTTTTTCGAATGGTGTTCTTCTCACCGAGAAGACCCCCGGAAATGTCCAATCAGAGTCATGCTGTCCTTTCTGCAGCAGGGGTTGGAGCGAAGGCTGTCTCCCTCATTGAGATGCTACGTAGACAGGACGCAAAGCTTCAGGACCTCAAATCAACTCTTTGTCTATTGGAGGCCGGCAGAAAGGCATATGTGTAAAATCCACGGTACAGCCTCAGAGCCCGTGTTACCCCGGCAGAGTGCCATAGCAGCAGTAACTGGTCTTCTTGTGGTAAGCCCCGGCCTACGCCAAAAAGAAGGGACGCAGGTGGCTTCCACAGGACACTGAAAGGGGCAGTATCCGTGGCATTTGGTAGGGATCCCAATTCGTCGGTCACTGACGTGACGTCGGTTGTTCTACTCCCTGACCGAGGGGACACTCGGCAAGGACGCACTGGCACACAGCTGGCCGCGGGGCCTTCGCAAGTATGCGTTTTCCCCAGTGAGCCTTCTAGCTCGGCTCCTCAGCGAAAACCTGAATATGCACTGCAATGGCTGCCTACTTATACTCACGCTGTGATCAGCGGCAGCTGGATGCAATAATCGCATGCCAATGTGCATTGGCTCATTTAGTTTACACTCAAAGTAGATTGGTCTCTCTAAGCAAGATCCCAATTCGTCGGTCACTGACGTGACGTCTCTGTTCCCTCCTTCAGGAAACGTGGGTTACATACGTAACAGAGACGTTCTTGACCCTAAAATTTAACCAGATCTCAAGCTTTGTGGAATTCAACCATGACAACTATGAGAAAAGAATTATGAGAAAACTTATTTATGGCCCTTCACACCCATCTTTAAATCACCTGTTACCTGTGAATCACTCATGCACAAATTCAGCAGTTCAATTTATTTGTCTAAGTACCACAAAAACGCCACCACATTTGCCAGTTAACAATAGCATCACAGTATGAACAATGACAGCTGCCAGTATTAGATGGATAAGCTATTATTTTCATCCAACATGAATGATACACCCTGCCAGTCAATACGATGCTAATTAGATATCATAACGAATACATGTAATTGGTTTGAGAGGCAGGGAGCTGCAGCTCCTCTTGATTGCCTCTCCAAATGATTGGCCGCCAACTGTAGCACCGTCCCAGAGTGAATCATTTGAGAGCTCAATAAGCAGAAGATTAGATTTGCACAGATAAATACAAATCTGTTGTTATTAAAGGCAGTCCTGTACATGAAGCATATAGCTTTATTAAAAACAAAGAGAAAATGGCTCTTTGTACTTGTATTAGATTTATGTATTTGGCAGATGCTGATAACATGCATTGATACATTTTGTACAATAAGACCTGAAATGTGAGTATTAAAAACCCAAAAATAAAAAGATGCTGAAAAATCTACTCACCATTAGGCCATCCAAGATGTAGATGAGTTTGTTTCTACATTGGAACAGATTTAGAGAAATT